TTGTGGGGAGTCAGTGGGAGGGAGACAAACTAACCTGTGCCTGAGAACATAACCCAGCAATGTGACACTGTCTCTTTAGTAGAGTAGGGGATGTTCCTGTGTGAAGTGGCTGGTTGGTTTGATGATGGATAACGTTATTTTGGCCAAATTGGATTTTTCCTACTACATTGAGAGCAAGTGTTTAACCATGAAAGCTTAGTCAAGGGTTTGATTAGAGGTTAACTGTGTAATTTCACACAGATTCTCAGCATCCTGCAATGTTGAGCTGTTTGACAGTTTGTAGCTCTTGGAGGGATATTTCAGCTCATTGTGTGAAGGTTGAAACTTCACAGTTGAAATCCTGCTGCTTGGGATACTGTCCTGTGTTCTTTACAGAGGAATTGGATAATATCCATGTGGATCCCAATAAATTGAACTTCAGGACACCAGCTGGTGTTTGGGGTAGATCTATCATATAGTCTGTGTAGCTTGTGTCCCTGCACTAAAGGAGGTGGAGATGGATTACAGCAAACCCTGTCATACTGAGCCATCATCACATTAGAGGGGTCACAGGGAATTTGTGATAGCTATTGGCTAGTTTCTTCCATTGCTTTCAACAGCAAATGAAATTTTGAGCAACTTGGGGCAAGTTGGGATCAGCCTATGACAGGGCTGACAGTCCAGTAGACCCCTGCAGAGCTAATTAAAATGAGACAGATTAGATGCCTGAAAATATTGTTAGGGAAACAACAAACTAGAAATATTTTGCTGTGGTTGAGATGGTCTGACCTTCTATATTTGGCATGTTCCTTGTGCTTCTGTCAATGTGGAAGCCTTGCACGTTTGTGTGACTCTTCACTGTGTAAATGAAATGAGAACATGCTGTGTACCATAGAAGGTAATGATGGTATCTGACTGTCCAGCAGTAAGGGTTCCATATTAGTGTGATTCAACTCTAACAGGCCAGCAGCCTGACAGTATGTTGGTGCAAATGGTATTGAAAGCAAAGTGAGGTAACCTTTGTAGAAGGGATGTGGAGAGCCTTTAAACTCACTGGCATAGTTCTGAATTAGACACAGACCTGTGACAACAAGTGCCATATTTGAATGTGGCATGGCATTAGAAATAACAATTGGACCTTTGCTTTCGGAGGCATGAAGTGGTGTTGCTGGATATGAAGGTCCTTGAGGCTGTGGTGACTTTCTGAAATGACACCTTTGTGGTGTTTTTGTTGCAATGTTAAATGGGAGATGCTATAATTCCTTCATCAAAACAGATCGAGACTTGATTAGGTGTCAGACATTGAGATTTCTATTTGAAGTAGACAAGGAGTTGGGGGCACAGATGTTCCTCAAAAGGCTGGAGAAATAACTTGTACTTTTTGCAGTATTAATGACCAAAGGATGATTTGAAGGAATGGTCCTTCAAGGAAGTGAATTTCCAATACTGGAGCTCTGCAGGGAGACAGACTGTATATTATTCCATGTCCATCTGTAGTAAAGGACTATTGACTATGATCTCCACCGAACAGTCGCAGTTGGCTTGTAGAATTGATATCTCACTTCTGACTTGAATTTTCATCATGCAATGGCACTTTCTGGTACATCTTAAGATGGAAAACCAAATTTAGAATATAATGGCAGAAATAGATGTTAACCTTGCAGTTTGGCACTTTTTTCTGCAGGCCTGGTAACAAGGCACAAAACTCTCCTTTGCTATGCTGCCATCACAGCAACAATTGTTGCTGCCAGATTCTGTACTTGCCCAGAATCACTTTCACTACCACCTCCATGAATCTCTACTGTATATAGATGCTGCCAGGAACCCAAACTCACCAACTGGATTGCCGCCTCTTGGGTGAAGTTCGATGTAGGGCATAAATGTTTCTTCTTTCCCTTTTAACCCCCACCCCACTTTCCATATTCTCTCTAACTGACATTACAGCCAGTAACACTGGAATGGTCTACTGCTGCTGACCAAGCTGTTGTACTGAAACAGTCCCTTGCTTCCTGTAACCTTTCAGCTCTACTCCTGACAGTAGAGAGTTGTTACTAAACACCTTTTCAGCCAGCAATGTGATTCTTACACTTGACTGTTTTGTGCCCATGGTTTAATCAAGCACCATTCTGAGTGTCACTTCTCCAGCACCTGTCACAATGACACGAGAGGCAGTGTTCTGCGTTTAGTTTGGCTCTTGTTTCAATTTCAACCATATCCAGCTTTTGCCTAAAGGACAAGGTGAAGATTTGCTTACACAATTGGCTGTATGCTTCCTGGATCAGTCTGTTACTTGCTTGAAGATTTAATTTGAATTTGTGTAATAGCTTTGCTAGTTGAATAGCTGGAAGTTTCTTCCCTTGGGTGGACTGAATAGGTGTAGGAACTGTTGTCGCTACAGATGTGATCTGGTTGGGTACTGCAGGTCTGTAGCTGGGTCAGCTCTCCTAGAGATTTCCCTAAATGTGCACACTGTGTTTCCCAATTCCCAGTTATTTGGATAGTTGGCCATGCAGGTCAGTCAGCCTGCACCTACACTCATTCATGTGTGGTGATCCTCAACATAATTCATGCTTTCTTTCCTTACCCCCTGATGAACATTCTTTGTCTCTTCATCCCCCACACACTGATATTGCACCCTGCCCGCCCCCAGCCAAAACAGCTGTATCTGCATCTGCCCCAGGGTTAGGAGCTATGATGGACAGGCTGACACTGTTCACTGTCAGTTCCAGACACTGCTACTGGACCTTGTGCCCAAGCAACTGACATTCAAACACATCCTGCCCTTGCTATCCCTCTCTACAAATGCATCTATATTCCTCAACATGTTTTGCTTCAACTTTTGACTTCTAACTTTGGAATCCTGTGCCTTTTTTGTTCTTAAATTTCTGATTCTTCCCTTTAGGAGGATCTATTATGATATTACTGGGTAAACTGAATACTAAATGCTTCTCTCTTCCCTTTTGAGAATGGCCACCGGCCTGCAAATTCTATTTGGTGGTCACATGGCTCCTAGAGTACCTCAAGGATGCTTTTTCAGTTTGAAAAGTCAGATTATTTGCCTTTTTTCTCTTGGAAATATAACAATCCAGACCAGACTCGAGGTAGCATAACTGTTAAAGCTATGACTGATTCTGGGTCTTTGACTCTTGATCCTTCAGTCAATGACTGGAGGCCACGACAACCAATGGGGAAACTGAACTTTTTTCTCTTTCTCTTTGTCGTGTGTACAGCAGATGGCCAGTTCATTCTAGCAATTACCAGGAACCTGACCCATCCTACCCTCAACCTGTCATCTGTACATGAAAGATGGACAAGAAGCTGAGTGCAGGCCTAAGCTCATCAAAGGAACTTGTAGCCTTCCGCTTCCCAATTACCTCTTGTGGTTCAACCCCAGCAGGTGAGTATTGGAGGGTCTGGCTTTCTGTCCCTTTGAATGGGCCAGCTCCCTATTAAACAGTGTCCTCCATTGCAGGAGGAGACTGGAAGCTTTGCGTATGAAACCGACATCTTGGGGAAGAGGATGATTCAGACAGGGCCACAGGGCTCAATAACCAGGGACAGCACCTTCAGGTGAGAGGGCAGGGGGTTTGTTGTTATGTAGAGGGACCAGGTTACTGACTGAAACTCCACCACCTCTGTCTCTTGACAGCCTGCAAGTACAAGGGGGAGCATGAGGCTGGCTTGCAGTCTCCTGGTGGATGGGTAAGGACTCTGAATGGAAAGCCCAGCCTTGAACTGCATGGATTTAAGAGGATATTTTGACTGAACAGTGTCAGATTTGTGGGCCTGGGCCTGAGCCACAGTAAGTGTCAGCTCTTTGGGCCCTCTGTGCCTCTTATTTCAATCTAGGTTGGTTTGTGACTCATTACAATAGACTAATAAACAGCTGCCCATCTTAAAATCAAGCCTGTTGTTAAACTCTTCCCACTTCAAGACACTCACTCTCGAGCAGCATTTCTTCAACATTCACTTTGAAGTCCTCATTCTGAAGATTAAATCAATCCTCACTGCAATGACTGAAAGGCCCCACTCCTTAAACCATCCATACCTGGTGGTAAGATGGCCAAGCATTGATCTCAGCAACATTCCCCCTGCACCACAAGGTGTCTGATATCACTGTCACCTTTCTAATGTGACACCTTGTCAAATATTTTCTAGAAAACCCTGTAGGCAACCACAGGGTGCCCTCCATCAATTCTGCTTCATGTTTCCTCCAATCACAAATGCTATTTCCTCAATCATGTGGACTACAATTAAGGACTGTGTAATCTTTCAGTGCATTCTCAGGGCTAACAGGCCTACTGGTTTCTCTTGCCTTTGCCATCAGTTTGCAAAATGCTGGGACTTCAGAACAGTCTAAAAGCAAACATGTTCATCTTCAAACCTAAAGATGAGGTCCAATTACTACCTGGGACCATTGACATGACTTTTGCTTGGTATCCTCTTCCTTGGCAATTGTAATTTCCTCATGCTATCCTGGCTTCCCCCACCCCATAGACTTTCAAAATTGATTTCAATGATTGTTTCAAACTTTCGAGCTTTTTTGTTTTTTCTTTAAAAGACTTATTTCTGGGATGGTCTGAAACTCTTCAGCAACTGACCACCTCCTGTTTTCAGGTGCCCCTATGGGGGTGATGACTACCTGACTGTCCTACACCCAGTAGATGCCTCTTCTGGCCTGCAGTTCCCAAAGCATCACAAGCGGTTTGAAGTGAAGACCTTTGTTTTCTTGGATGGAGTGTCTGAGCAGCCCCTCTCTGGACAAGTAACCAAACTGATGGAATTGAGACCAACCTCATGAAATCCTCTTGCTGGTTCTCTGTATTATAACCTGGGGATCCAGCTACAAAATGCTCAGTTGGGTGTAAATTCTTTCCTAGGTTTACCTGCACTGCAGTGCTGAGGTTTGCTCTCCCTCTG